CCATGACAAACGCTTACTTTTAATACATGAGCAAAACCGAAACGCATTTGTGTTCATTCATCCGTTTCTGCTTAGAAACAAAGTTTCGTCACTGTTTTTCACTCAACTTATATGGCTGTCGTTGATTTTGGTGCCCTGTGTCCAAAAACAGTTGAAAGCCCCGCTAAATGCAGTCAAGAGGTTCCCTTTTGCGAATAGCACAAAACGACAAGACATATTTGTCGGTTTCGTATAATCAGCTTTCTAGAATAAGACCTCATTTTGCTTTGCAGAATGGTTGACGTCTCAGCCCAAGATGCGATCCATTGGTGATTCATGATGTTGCTCCGATCAATTTAATATTCTGATCTATGGACATTACCACATTGATGCCCATGACCACAAACAAGGGCTGAGGTAGCTATCAATAAATTTTCCAGTGAGGATTTTGTACATACATGGAAGACGTGCAATATTAAAGGTAGCACAGTTAGTATAGTAACATCCTCAGCTATCAACATCTGGGCGTTGTACTATCGAGCGGTGTCCGGTGAAAACGGAAGCGTGTAGCCTTTCCATAATAAATAGACGTAATCGAGCCAGTTGTTTTGTTCATGTATCCAGTGTCCTGTTTTTAGACAACCGCCAAGAAAACGACGGTTGGATCCGGTTAATAAGTTTTGAGCCGCTAAGATGGCTTAGACATCAGCAACCTGTTTTGGATTATAAATATATAACCAAGTGATAATTTAAGGCAGTGTTCAGCTAGGTAAAAATTCAGTACATGATGAACTCTTTAACTTAAAATCAAAGAAGGTATTACTGAGGACATCAACATCGTTGCCGAACGATATATACTTGAACTTCGAAAGTACGGTTTAAAATGCAATCATTGGGTAAACAGAAACATGATGTTCGCAGATGAGGAAAACTGCAGTGGCATTTCAAACCCACAAAGTTGACGGATCAGAGTTTGGTTTCTTTTCCAGGTGGCATGAGGTGCTCCAGCCCAGCTTCTTCCAGTTAAGATTTGTGGTATAAGCAGCTGATGATCGCGTGCGCTTAACACCGGTTCCTCTGCAAGTAACCAAGCCAGGTCAGTTATCGAGTCCTGTGTTTCTGGCAGCGTCTGCTATATCTTCTAAGCTAGCTAAAGGGAGAATGATCTCATTTCCAATATGCAGCTGCCATACTGGATCTCTCCTCACCATGTATCGTTGTTAACGCCACCAAGTCACAGTCCCTATGTTTGTATTCAAGCATAATTACCTGCTAAGTTGGGTCGGCGTAAGCGGTGCCGCTAGATCATGAGGATTTATCCGTGAGCTCAATTATTGTCGTTGTCCATAAGTTGGAAAAAATGACTGCTTGAATGTGAATAGGGGCAAATTCTACTGTGCAAAACAAACTGTGTTTGGGTCCCAAAAGCTCCGTATCTCAAATAATGATTGCTTATAGACTTCAAACCATTTTTGCCATAGACCAATGGCATCATGCATTGTTTCTTATGCTGATAATAAGGCCAGTAATGATGCAATATCGATTCGTTGCCATTGAAATAGCTATTGAACATCTTCCTTTCTGGAACAGTGGTTCAAAATAAGTGGTCGCTTTGTCAATATAGAATCTGTTAATCATTGACGCTTTTAGATACTGCTCATCGGAATCATCGACATATGTAATACAATGTCGTCTGACTGTTTTCTTCATATCGTACAGTTTCAATGGCATATTTTTCTACTCTCTGCTGCGTGCAAACATATCGATGAATGAAATACATTTTAATTCGTCCTGGCAATCTGATG